TGAATTGACGCTGTTTGGTGTCAGTCTGAATTGACGCTGTTTGGCATCACAACGCTGTTATGAAAGTTTCTCTGGTATAACATGGGTGATGTTAGCATAGCAACCGAAGCTAAACTGACTACTTGCTAAGCCGTTTTCTACAGGCACTTTTTACCGACGTATTTTTCATTATGATTCTACTTGTGATAGTCGGACATGACAACCTGTGCAGCCCATGTATTGATTCCATCCGATAGCTGCTATAATAACAAACAAAACGTCTGCCTGCTCTCCACAATGATCAATAACAGCGAACGGATGGTCAAAGTAAGGTACAAATAAACAGAATCACACGAAGCCTGGTTAGTGTTGCCTGACTTTATAAAGCGTGTTTTTTTTTTACAAGTGTGTGGTTGCGTTCTAGTCACTTTGCTCAGCACTACTGCTGGTTACAACTTTTATTTGCCGTACTCGCCTTAACTGTTAGCTCAGGTTAATCTCGCCCCCCTCCGACGTAAGCGTGACGTATGCGGTTCTTGCTTCTAGACGGACAACTTTTTGGTGCTCGAAACGAACCGGATTCCGGAGCTTAGAGGCTGCTCTGCTGCGGTGTGAACAGGAAAACCCGGTGCTTTTCAAGCACCAGCACCGAACCGGCCCCGAAACACCGTTGGTGTGAATGGGGTACTAGAGTACCCTGGAACCGAGGGAAACTCTGAAAGAATACGCCCATTGGCTACAAATCAATATATGATTGGTTGATCAAACTGTCAATCCAAACGTACGCTCTCATTCAGTGCAACGGCCAGGGCATTCTATCAAGGATATAGAATACCCTGGTTGAAGGATATTCTACGCAGAGACCCAGAACAAGATCTGATTGGTTGCTTTCTTTTCTAACACAAAACCACTGAAATGCGTAGTGCATGGTCCGAGAAGGACAAACAAATCAACGTAACACTGTAATATTACAGATCAACAACACAGATACGATTCTCATTTATTCATTTTATATACATTTTATATACATTTTATATACATTTTATTTATATAATTAAATCGATTTTTTGTTTGTTTTATCTGAGTGTTCCAGGGTATTCTCTGAATACCTTGAAGGCACTGACGGTTCGCCACTGTTAATGATACATGTGAATTATGAACCATTTATCACATGAATCATTGAGCACAGATTCCATTGCTGTTTTGTCGAGGATGAAATCAATCTGAATGAAATGTCCAGTTTCTAGGAACGATGGGCAGCATGTCTTTATTAGAATCCCCATAAGCACCAGCTATTAGCATTAGCATGAATCTCCATTAGCATTAGCAATTCTACCTGCCATCCAAACACATATTTACACACAATAAACACACGACACAGAATTAAACAGCTCATCTCATGTCATTAACAATTAAGTATGGAAGTAAAAAACTAAATGATCATCCTTTCAATCATCATCAAGCCAAAAATAACAAGATTGACTGAACACACACAGACACCGTTCATTATAATAAAAAATTAAGATGCTATTTAATGGTAAAAACCTTCCTTTTTGATAAAGCATGTAGTTAGGGCTGGTTTCAACCTACTAACATCCGTACCATGCTGTGAATGGATCTGGCCCTTCCTACATCCAGGACATGGTTAAACCGTACACCCCAGCACGTGCACTCTGCTCTGCATCAGCCAGACGGCTCGCTGCACCAGCACTACGAGGTGGACCCAAGTTCCCATCAGCAAAAACACGTCGGTTTGCTATCCTGGCTCCAAAATGGTGGAATGAGCTCCCCATTGACATCAGGACAGCAGAAAGCTTACACATCTTCCGGTGCAGACTGAAAACTCATCTCTTTCGACTCCACTTCAAGCAATAAAATGACTATCAAAGCACTTATATACTAACAAAGGACTGGCTTATCTAAAGCCAGTTGAGTAGCACTTGAAATGTTTAGCTCTATGAAACCTGATGTACTTCTATGATTCTGTTTTCTTCAAGTTTGTATCTTCTTGGTCGAATGCACTTATTGTAAGTTGCTTTGGATAAAAGCGACAGCTAAATGCAATGTAATGTAATCCTCCTGGGCCTAAGATATGTTTTATTTTACTGTTTTTGTTTGTATTTTACATTCTATCTTGTAACTTTATCATATCTTTTGAATTTTCTTACATCATTTTCATTCATGTGTGTTGCTCTGTAAAGCCCTCTGAGGTGGGTTTTGTGATAATGGGCTCTATAAATAATATTTGATTGGATTTTTATTTGGACAGACATTTGATCCGATCTTTAGTATTCTCTTGTGCACCGGCAATGAACGAGATAAACTACCTCGACTCAATCGCCTCACACCAATCCTCCATATTGGATGGGTCACGTAATTCCGGCTAAAATAGGGAGTCTTGTCCAGACATCCAGCCTATTTCTCAGTAATAGCCTGACGGAGCTCCCTGAAGAGGCCAATTCTGGCCAGCAAAGCCCCACTTAAATTCTCCGTGAGACAGAGGAAGAGAGAATAGTGTCTGCGGAGCCACTTAAAAGCCCCCGGGTGAAAATGGGATTTCTGACCTGCTCCACTGGTGCCGCAGCTCTGTGGCCAGATTGGCTGCCAGGTGGGAGAAGGAGGGGGAGGAAGATGGGAGGAAGATGGGAGGAATGGATGGATGCTGCTGCTGGTGATGGTGTAGACCGCTAGGACCTCATTAGCTCGACATTTCATCAAACACTACGGCACCGGGGTGGCTCTCACTGCCTCCATATATCTCTTTCTCTTAAGCCAGACTTTCTTTCTCTTTGTTTTTATCGCTTTACTTCGCTCTCTTTCACACCTTCCTCTCTGTGCCGCCGCTCCTCCAGGTCTCATTAGCCAGATGAGGCCGTTCGTCTGGTGATCTGACACTAAGTCAAAGTCAGCAGATGAGGTGATAACGACACATTTCCCTCCTAGACTCACACTCACATCCAGCTATAATCATGTGTTCTTGTTAATGCCATGGAAATGTACATTTGTTATGGCTATAAGAATGTAAATAACCATCATACTTCTGCTGGGGAGATAGTTCAGGGTGCATTAAAGGGCTCTGCAGGGCCTGGTTTGCATATCATTGCTGCTCAGTGCAAGGGGGGGAAATCAGAGACACACCCACATGCATGCATAAAAAGTACATGAGGAATAACATCACACACACACACACACACACACACACACACACACACACACTCTAACACTCTAACACTCTAACAACATGTAGAGCAGCTTTATACATAAATAGATTTATGGTCATGATTAATGTTCATGCACAGAGAGAAAAAGGCACATTCTTAATGTATGTGTGCAGAAGCATGACTTCCAGTGTAGTTTAATCTGTGGCAGGGTCTTTAACAACAACATGATGACATATAACTGTACTGTATTTTTGTAATACTTTATAGTCATATAATCCAACAAAACACTCAATATGTCCTTATACAAGATGTCCTTATAAAAAACAAATACAATTTGTTTCATAAAATGACTCATCTGATGATGGGCTGATACTTTGTTCTTATTGGTCAATGTGTAAACTGTACTCTTGTTGAATCGATTTAGTCGATTCATTGTCAGGAAATAGTGAAACATGTCATAATATCCACAATTCAATACTTCTATATTGTTATACAGTAGTTATCAGATTTTATCTTTTGTGGAACTTCAGGACAAATGTGACATTAAAAGTGTATCTTATGCTAAATTTAAAATGCTTGTTTTCTTAGCTAACAAGACTCTGAAACCAGAAGATATTCAGTTCATAACATCACATAATTATCATATATGTGATGTTATTATCAGTAACATCTTCCACAATATTCCTCTAGAGTTGCTGAGTTTGATATATATAATATGCTGAGTACTTTAGGTTGATATTTGATAAGAATGCAACATGCGTTTTGTGCACCCGGCCTGTTGTTTTGAGGTAAACACACATTCCTCTGTAGTGTGTGAGTGGGAGAAAGATGTAAGGTGAATCCTTTGTAAGACCCCGGGGTTTCTACCTATCGCAAAAGCAATATGACAAGCTACACATCCCCAGGAGGCTCTGCCACTACCCATTTGTCAACAAAGCATTTTCTTCCTCAAACACACAGCGAGGCTTTTTACCACACTCCCCCTAGGTGTGCTTTCCTGTCTGCTTTGCATATTTCTGTATAAACCGGGGCTAAACACAACTTTCAGAGCAATTTTGACTTCTGGAAAAAAAACTGAAAATATGGAGAAAAAACTGAAAATTCAGCTGTCAGTGCTGCGAGTGCTTCCACTGGGAATAAAGAGGCCACACATTTCAATTCACAGAACATCATATTTGCAAAAGAAAGTTACTGTACATTTGTAATTCAACATGTATATTTTCAACTTTTTATTCTAATGCTATTTTATTTCTATTGAGATGTTTACATTTTGGAATGTTTAATGTTAGAAAAATATCAATCGTCACCGGCTTGAGCTTCAATAATCAGGATACATGTATTTATTATCCTCTCAAGAATGGAAGTAGTCATCACATACAGAGCATTTGGTACAACTAGTTCCTGAGCAGTGTCCTTCACATGCTGATATACAAGAGAGGGAGTTACACAGTCACAAGATGGAGGAATACCGGTTCAAAGCAGTATACAATGTTTAGTTTAGATTAGCTCCACGTCAGAAATGATCATGCTTGTCACATGTCTATCTCCATAGAGGCTGAATCATCATGTTAATCACATGGCTATCATATGCCTAAAACAGTCCTGATGCTCTTCTAGGTAATCATACATCCTGTCATGTACACAGCTACGTAGGGCCTTTGTTATCATGTGCTACTCTGATATTGGAAGAGTACATTCAGTATTTTCCCAACATACTTCTAGTCTTTTAATTTTTATTGTTCAATGCCATGTCTTTTTATGCTGCTGCAACGCAAAAATGTACTTTTTATCTTATTCTTATTCTTATCGTATCTTATCTATTTTCTGTTTGCTTCAATCTTGTTTTTCTTCCCTCCCCAGCCTCCCAGGATGCACTGCAAGACCTGCGCCCTGGTGACGAGTTCGGGTCACCTGATTGGAGGAGGTCGGGGGGAAGAGATCGACCAATCGGAGTGTGTCATCCGGATGAACGACGCTCCCACCGCCCGGGGTTTCGCCCGAGACGTGGGCCGCCGCACATCCCTGCGCGTGGTCGCTCACTCCAGCATGCAGCGCGTCCTGAGGAGCCGCCACGAGCTGCTGAACGCTAGCCAGGACACGGTGTTCATCTTCTGGGGCCCCAGCAGCTACATGAGGAGGGACGGGAAGGGCCTGGTGTACAACAACCTGAGGCTGATGAACCAGGTGCTGCCCAAACTCAAGGTCTACATCATCTCCTGGCAGAAGATGCTGCAGTTCGACGAGCTCTTCAAGAAGGAGACCGGCAAGGACAGGTGAGGGAGAGTTCAGAATCAGAATACCTTTATTAGTCCCACAGAGGGGACATGTACATTGTTACAGCAGAAAAGAGCCAAAGAAAGCTTAATGTTACCTAAGAAGCATGCATAAAAAAGTATTGAAGATAACAAAATTATAATAAAAGTAAGTTACACCATTTACAAAATACACATCCTGTAACAGTTCTGAGGATTTAGCAGCCAGGTTTATATATATATTGCACATATTGCACCTCACCCTTTAAGGCTAAAACTGCGACATTAACATGATGAGCTCAAGTGATATGTAAAATACAGGAATGCATTCAGTTTTGGGGATTTTATATGAGAGATGCATTGTGGACAGCGTGTTTGAATAATGATTCGATTACATTATTCGACGATTGACAGAAAATCAGTCCTTATTTTCCAAGTAAGAGGATAAGCAACATGTAAAGAAAATATATATACTGTTGGTACAAGTGTGAGCATTTGCTGCCTTTTATTTGACTAATGTGATTTGGGAGTCTTTGGAATAAATGCAATTTGGCATCTTCACTTAGGGCTTTGGGAAAATGTGTTTTTTTACTTCACTGAATAATCCCTCAATTGAAAATAAATAAAAGAACTACTGAATCAGAAATCCTTTATTAGTCCCACAGCGAGGACATTTACAATGTTACAGCAAAAGTTGAATAGCAGGTAATAAAAGAAAAGAAATGAAATGTAAAATACTAAAAAAGTAAAGCACACATTAGTAATAAAATATACAAATAAGTATACAACCATGGCGAAAAATAATACGCAGTCATTTCAGTAAACTTAGTGACAAAGATGGCATTGAAGTATTGTGACCTTAAAAGTATTTTCGTACAGATAATTAGTTGAATCTTTGGAGACTTGAATAACAGTGACATGGTTATATATTGTGGTAATGCTTTTGGGTATAAGAGCATCTTGTTGTGTAGCATTTTCAAGCCTATTAATATATATAATCAGTGCTCGAAGCACAGTTAGATTTCTGTCTATCTGGTTACCAGTAAATATTTCTCAGTGCCACAATTCTTTAATAAATGACCTTACTTTTATGATGCATTTATGGAAATGATTTGGCCAAATAGCTCCTGCTAGAGGAGGCAGAAATGTGCCGCAGCGTGAGGTTCACAGTCTAGTTTGATATTAGTCCAGTTGGAAGGCTGTGTGATAAGAGTTTCTCCTCAGGGCTCCAGAAGTCTATTTCTTGAAGTGGTCAGTCTTCATGGTTTGAATGTAATGGTTTCACTTTTCGCCCAAGGTGAAGAAACACTCAAAGCGCAACATGCAAGCCTGCTAACTTTAGAGGCAGCTTCACATATAGAAAGCAAGGATAGGTTTCTATTTAAAACCAGTGTCATCACAAAATCATCACCTGACATCAGGGAAACACATCTTATACTGTCCTGCCATTAGATCACAAGAGGCCCTATTCTGCTTTTTGGGGTTGTCCCATGTCCTGTAGTGTGTTGTATAGGCTTTTTGTGCATGTCAATGGTCAATGGTTCAAAGACTGAAATCCAAGAGTTTCTCTCCTACACACTCCCCCCCTGCCTGAAACAGCTCCATTGTTTATATCTGCAACATAATGACATCACTATGTAACACTGGCGCTTCTAACGCTCCAACACATTATACGTGATAGACAAAGGGTGAGACATCTCTAAGCAGATAACCAATCACAACAGCCCTGGTTTCAGACAGAGGGTGAAGAGAGGTGCTGCAAAACACGCCGGTGCATCGCCATCTGTATTTTGTTTTTGAAAATCAAACTAGAAAGGCATTGAGTTTTGAGTTAATGTACCGAGGGAAATGTTTCAAAGTAAATGTGAAATATACTTGCAATGAAAAGAAGAAATAATGTTTTGTTTACGTGTGATGTCCAAATGATTTAGAACGTCTTTTTGAGTTTCTGCAGCGTCTCTTCTCAAGCAGTGTTAGAGGGCTCAAATGTAATGAGTCCAAGCGGAGTCCTCAGTCTTGAGGCCATTAGCACTTAATGAAAATGCTAACACACACACACACACACACACACACACACACACACACACACACACACACACACACACCCACGCACGCACGCACGCACACACGCACACACACGCACACACACTGTTAGTCTCTCTCCTTTTGTCCGGAGTGTTGCTGGAGACTGAATCTGACTCCAGCGTTTGTTGAATGGCCAAGACCTCCTTCAGGATCTGTGTCTTCATTCATGTTAAATGTTGAAATGTTTACAGGGAGCAAGCGGCTTCCGATGTACTGTTATCTTTTTTTATAGCATTTGGCATTAATATCCGTGGGGCTTATTTGAGGTCATTTCAGCTCTGTGGAGCGTGGGAAGAGAGAGGAAGAAAGCCTCAATGCTTTTACATCATTTTAATGATGGATACAAGTTTAAAGTTTAAATAACAACAGTTTAACGCATTTATAGAATGAATCCTATAGTTCTTTCCAGGACTGTGAAGCTGTGTGAGCTGCAGTAGTAGCAGAGTCTCTGGGTAATCAACTGTGCGATCGGCAACCCTGCAAGCCAGTAATTGTAATTATGGGTTATGCCGTTTCAGTAAAGGTAATTAAGACGGTGTGGGCTGGTGTCACATCCACCCATTTTAATAAAGCTGGCAGAGGAGCAATGAAAAACAGGTGTCCCTCTGCATCCTCTGTGTTCAATTGCCATGCCCGAATGAGCCTCAACCGATGATTAAAGGCAAATTAGCTTTTTTAATGACTTTTTATCCCTTTTTATTTATATACATAATGTTATGCTCCCATAATGCTTTGTTCTAATCACTTACAGTCTCACTGTGTTTTACTGTAAGGTTTCTACTTGATTCATTTGGGAAAGGTAGTGCTGGAATAAAACTGAAGTGTGTAGGTGTCAGGCTCATTCAGTTACCAAAAGACAGTTTGACCCTTTTAAAAGTAAATCTAATTGCTGAAAAGAAGATGAAAAATGCCAGCTAAAGCATTGACAGTCCTGCAAAACGAAACTGGGGTGACTTTAAAGGTCAAAAAGGAGAATGAGAGCAGGAACAGAAGGCCTCGTATTCAACAGAGAACAATAGACTGTCGAGTTTACATTTACAAATCAGGTTCATATCAGTATGCTGAGTCTCTCCTGTGACATGTCCCCATGCGTTAATGTTCAAAAAGCTCTTTATTTTCCTCATACTGCCTGTGCTGCAGCACCTCTTTTCACCCTCTGTCTGAAACCAGAGCTCAGTCTGCTCTGATTGGTTAGCTGGCCGGCTCAGTTGTGATTGCTCAACCACTTAGAGATGTCCCGCCTCGCAGCCTATCACGTACAATGTGTTGGAGCGCTAGCCAATAGAAGCACGAGTGTAACATAGTGATGTCATTATGTCCCAGAAGTAAACATAGGAGTCCAATGGAGGTGTTTCAGGCAGTGTGTGGGAGAGAAACTCCCTCTGGAGGGAACACAGGGAATGTAGCCTTTGTAGACCATCCACACAAACGTATTTAACAAACTACAGGGAAGGGAAAACCCCCAACAAAGTAGAACAGGGCTTCTTTAATTAAACTTAGAAGACTCTACAGAGTTAATTATGAATAGGTATCTTCTAAAAGTTGAAGAACATGACACATTTTTCAAAAGACATCATTTCTTGTTTCAACAAAGGGTAAGAGTATCCTTTAAAGGTCGTTCTTTTTTATTAAAGTAGTATAAAAGTAAATTGGAGATTCTGCTCTGGAATTTTGCTACAATTTGAAGGAAACTACTAACAGATAAAGAATATACATCACCTGTGTGGATGTACCATCTGAGCACAGGTGCAGAGCATGTAGGAATATATATCGACCATCTTTTGGAATAAAAGTGAGATTTTTAGTTACATATCTTTCCTGAAGCAATTAATGACTTGTAAAGAACAAAAAGTAGCCTGTAATATATGTATATATTAATAAAACAAAGCATTCCAGGAGCAGGAAAGTCTGCAGCTAAGTAAAGCAAGACACGTTAGAAAATATATACAAATAAATATGGTTGTATTGGCTAAGAAGTACAAAAACACGGTGTGAGAAGTGATTGCAAAAGATATGTAAGCTTTATTCTTGACTTCTTTCACGCCTGAGCAATGCAACATAACGGGAGCTGTGATCAGAAGGAAAGCGGCCTGAAAGAAGTGAAGTACCATAAATCAGTAATCAACACCAAACTGCTTCTAATCACTGCAGTCATTAGAGGCGCGTAAATAAACTGTGCCTATGCCTTGTTCTAATGCGAGAAGCAAAAGACCTTTCACAACAAAGAGTCTGCTTTTTTAAACTAATGTTAAACTCCTTGGTTTGACCTTTACCTCTCAGCGGTAACATACAAACCATTATAATAAACTACACCTGCTCTTTAGAAATGATCACAATACAACAACAGAATAACCAAAGAGCAGCACGATTCTCTTTCTCGAATCAGCTTCATAATTAGAAAGATTTACACTTCTTGACTAATTTGATTCTATTAGATTATCTTTCTCAAAGTAAATGACAATATGCCTGCTGGGTGTTGTTGCAAATCAACTTCAGCGTCAATATTATGAAAACAGCCATCTCCTTTATTAAATAAGAGCACTCTTTTCTCGCTCTTTTAATAGAAATAAGATTTGAACACCCAAGGATCAGACTACAGTTAAACTACTCATTAACGGGGTTTTGCTAGACTTTCAGAACTGCGTAAACACGAGGAGACGCTTTCCTTCGCCGGGATAAATCCTTCTTCCCACTCACAGCTTGCTTCCAGTCCTTTTTAAAGACAGCCATTGAAGCTAAGAGCTTGACATTTCACACCACATTATTCATCAGCATGTTCATAAACAAGGAAATGAGGAAGACTTCTTAAGGAAGATTAGCTGCACGCCTCCTGACTAAGACCTCCGCGCATCCACCAAAGACGGCTTGATGACAAAATGTTGCGCTTTGAACTTTGGAAGTTTTCTAATTTGCTAAAGGTATCCGTGTGTGTCTGT